ACAACTCTGAATATACTAAAAAGCACTGAATAGTACACTTTAAATGGGTGAATTTTATGGTATGTAAATTAGATACCAGTGCAGCTGTTAATTAAAAGAATCAGGTGCACAGAAGTGTATGATTGTAGGACAGGTTGTGAATGTGAGTGCTGAGGTGCAGTAGCAGTGCTTCTCAAACTTTAATGGGCATATGGATTAACCAACCTAACTTATTTAGTGTAGATTCTGATTCAGGAGGTCTGGGGTAGAGTCCGAAATTCTCTTGATTCTTAATAAGCTCTCAGGGTGCTGATGCTCCTGGGCTATATGGCCCATGCTCTGGAAGGCAGTAAAGGATGTTTGTTTCTTCAGTGAATAGAGTCTGTCTAAAGAGCCTTCAAGCCAGAAGGATCTGGCCAGCATTTTGTTAGAAGGCATAATGTAGTTTGGTGGAAGAGAGGGGCTTAATGGACAAAGTAACCAGCCTGTGTAAAGACTCAGACCACAGAGTATCCAATGTTTGGGGGTTATAAGAGGCCTGTTGTTGGGTTACAGGGGTGGATCCCTGAATCTTTTGCACTTGAGGATTTTCTCTCTCTCTCTCTTTTAAAGAATTTATTTATTTATGTGAGAAAGCATGAGAGGGGAGAAGATCCTGCTGAGCAGGGAGCCCAATGTGGGACTCGATCCTGGGATTCCGGGATCATGACCTGAGCCAAAGGCAGTTGCTTAACCAACTTGAGCCACCCAAGTGCCCCAGCATTTTCTCTTTTTATGAAATTTTCTCTTGCTCTCTGCCTGACATTTTTGATTTAACTTCTTTCAAATCTGGACTTAGGTAGACTAGTACTACCAAGGGCCTTGAGAGCTTCTAGGAGGGGAGTGATTGGTTGGCAAGAAAACATTCTATGTGTGGGTCTTGGGAGTTGTATGTGAACCCATCAGTCAGTAACCATGGCTGGAGAGCCTCCTTAATTAGCTGCCTGAGCTCTGGACAGGGCATACTCAGACTGACTTACTGCTTGGACCCAGATGAATAAATGCATTAATGAGGGAGCAAATAAATATGTATTTCCAGATGGTAGGGGTTAATTTTAGCTATAGTTTACGGTTTTCCTTATTTTTCCACTTGTGCTAGAAGACCAGTATGGATGTAGTTTAAAGAATCGTTAGGTTCAGGAGGCAAATACTAAAGCCAAATTATGTCTCTTCTCTTTGCATTCATAGTACTCCATGAAGAGCTAAACAGTTCTCTAAGCCCCGGTCTAGTCTCAGCCTTAGTGCTTGCCCTTCTGAGAGGTATTTTCCATGAGGCTCTGAAAGCAGTACTGACCTGTGCCTCGTCAACATTCGGTTCCGCAGCCTCTCCTGGTACTTTATAAAGTGCTTCCATTCTCCCAGGAGGAAAGACAATGAAATCACTTAGTCACCTTGAATGTTCTTACCCTCCCAGCCCCCCAATGAAGTCAGAAGTCTTATTCTCTATTTTCCAGCCAGAGAGTAAGGTATTGATATTAGCTCACTTGATCAGTATCATGGAGAGGCACACCATAGCTGGCCTGGTTCTTTGGATCTTTCTTAGTTTTCCCTTCAGTGGAGTTGTCTTACTTCTTTTTTAAAAGATTTTATTTATGTATTTGAGAAAGAATGAAAGCGAGAGATCACAGAGCTCCAGAGAGGGAGGAGCAGATTTGCTGCTAAGCGGAGAGCCCAATGTGGAGCTTGATCCCAGGACCCTGGAATCATGACCCAAGCTGGAAGCAGTTGTTTAACCATCTTGCTTCTTTGAAGATGTAGTTGTGGTGTTGTTGTTGTTGGTTTTTTTTGACATTGAGTTTTTAAACATGATTTTCTGGGTGCCTCCTGGTATCAAATGAATACTTCTTCCCCAGATACTTATTAAGTATTTTTCAAATGTTTATTTATACTCGCATTTAAGCATCTCCAGGTGGGATGCTGGTTTGTCAGCATACTTTTACTGTATTGGAGAGAATTCTGTTCATTTTCTCTAGTACTCACTCAGCGCTTAGTATATGCTCAGCTTTGTTCTATTCTCCTTGAGGGACACAAAGCAGTGTATTCTCCTTGGCTCTGTGGGATCTTCCAGGTTTATGGGATGGAAGCAAGGTAGTAGACATAAGCAGGCCAGGACTAGGGTGAAGCAAAGGAGGCACTAGGGTGCAAACTTTAAGGAGGCACTCATTTTCAAGGTCATGCAAATGGAGGGTCAGTACCTGACAATGAGTGCCTCCTTAAATTTTGAGCCCTAGGTCCCTTGGTTTACCCCCACCTTCCTTAGTCCTGGTCCTGGCCTTAAGAAGCAGTTACATTGGGGCATTTGTGTGTCTCAGTTGGTTAAGCATCTGCCTTAGGCTTGGGTCATGATCCCAGGGTCCCAGGCTCCCTGCTCAGCAGGACACTTGCTTTTTCCTCTCTGCCTGCCCCTCTCCCTGCTTATTCTCTCCCTCTCTTTCTCTTTCTGTGTCAAATAAATAAATTAAATATTAAAAAAAAACAGTTATATCACTTGGAAATCACATCTAAGATAACATAAGACTATGAATGACTGGTATGGAACAGTGCTTTTCAGATTTAATGTGCATATGAGTCATCTGGAGACCTTATTAAAAGGAAAATTCCGATTCAAGGGGTCTGGAGTGATGCCTGAGATCTGCATTTCTTTCTCTCTCTCTCTACCTTTCTTTCTTTTAAGAATTTATTTATTTATTTGAGAGAGAATGAGAGCGCAAGAAGGGGGAGGGTCAGAGGGAGATGCAGACTCCCCGTTGAGCAGGGAACCCGATGTGGCACTCCATCCCAGGACTCCAGGATCATGACCTGAGCTGAAGGCAGTCACTTAACCAACTGACCCACCCAAGCGTCCCGAGATTCTGCATTTCTATCAAGCACCCAGACAATGCTGATATGACTCTTTGTGCCACACTCTGAATAAGGAGAAAAATCCATGCTTGAGAAAAGCAGAGGGCCAAAGTCACTAAGCTAGGGGATCAGGGCAGGCTTCTTCAGAGAAGGTGAAATTGCAGCTGGGTTCTCAAAGGACAGCTTCGTTTTGGATGGGATAAAAGAGGGAAATGTTGCAAGCAGAAGGAAGAATATACTAGAGACAGGAATGAGTCCCATGTGTTTTGAGACATTGAACAGACTGGTTTGGCAAGATGCAAGTCCAAGTTGGAAAAAAGGAAAAGAGTTTTGATAGGTAGCATGAAACCTGTACTGGGTTGCTTATTTAGAAATGTGGCCTGGGGCACCTGGATGGCTCAGTTGGTTATGCGTCTGATTCTTGGTTTTGGCTCAGGTCATGATCTCAGGGTCCCACAATCAAGCCTCACATCAGGCTTCTTGCTCACAAGGGAGCCTGCTTGTCTCCCTCTCTCTTTGCCCTTTCCCCTGCTTGCACTCTCTCTCTTTCTCTCTCAAATAAATAAATAAACCTTTAAAAAAAGAAAGAAAGAAATGTGGTCCTTAATTGTCTGCTCAGGTACCACCCAGATGGGCATTTCCATTTCTTATGTCGACTTGTCCTGGGATATTCTGGGACTTCTTTTGTTCTGGGGAAATGAAGACCTGAGTTAGGACACCTGAATATATTCTGTGAGGTATTGTGTGAGGTAGGAAAAGGGAGTAGGTGGGTGACTTGAGATAGCCTTTTTTTTTTTTTTTTTTTTTAAATAACTTAGCTGGAACATGTAAAATTCAGAAAGCCCTCCCTAAATAGTGATGGGAGTAGTGTACACACACATAAAGGATGCCGGGTAAGTATGTGCTGATTTGACTCAGTAGGAGAGTTCTGCCCATTTTACTTCAAACATTCTGTGTAAAGTACCTTTCTGAATTTATCATAGGAACAGTGGGAAATTGGGCCCTGACCATCATAAGTACTAAAGGAATATTTGTTGATTGATTCGTTTGACCAAGGCCTTGTCTCTCTTTACATTGAGAAACATTTTCAGCTCAGGTCAGTGTAAGAATGTATGAATGTAATGTTTTTGACTTATGTACTGACACTTGGTTATGCTTTTGTATGGCTATAAGGAAGTAGAAGTCTTGAGTCCTGAACTCGAAGAATTTAGTATTATTCTTGAGCAGCAGTTTTCAACTGGAGGCAATTTTCATCAATGTCTAAAGACATTGTTGCTTCTGTGGAGATGCTTTTGGCATCTAGAAGGTAGAGGGTCAGGGATGCTGCTAAAACATCCTACAGTGTACAGGGAACTCCCACCTCACCAAAGAATTATCCAGTCCCAAATATCCCTAGTGCCAAGGTTGAGAAACCCTGCTCTAGAGGACAAGACTAACAAATAGAACCAGAACTTTGAAATTGGAAGGTTGTACTGCTCGTTAATAGCAGAGCAGGGACTAAAGCTTAGTTCTCCCTAGTCTAATGTGCTGCTTGCTACCATGGGGCCATTTAGAGTCAGACAGCATATGATAGAATATTTTATCTAGCTTCATCTCCCACTAATCCTGATTCATACTTTTTGCTCTAGCCATGCTCATTTATTTGTATGCTAAGTAACTTTATTCCTTCATTTTTATGTTAGCCCGTTTGCCTGGAACATATTTCTCTCATTTCTTCATCTGGATGGTATTTCACATCTCCTCCAGAAGTCTTTGCCAGTCTATAACACTGCAGATTGGATCAGAAGCCTCTTCTTTATTCTTCCATAGCTAGTCCTCAGCATATAATAAAGAAATTTTCTGTATGTATGTGTGACTTCTTGATTAGGCTATGAGCATCTTAGGAGTTGGGTTTATTCTCCGGTCCTCATTGCCTAGCATAGACATGCAGTACACTGTCAGTCATAGACAAGAGATAAAGTAAGTGGTTAGAGAAGGGTGAGATCAGTGGGAAGTAGAGTATTGGGGAAGGCTTCATAAAGATTGTGACACTTGAAGCTCTTCATAATTCCTTGAAGATAATGATGAATGTATGAATACCTTATACTGGGCAGGCACAGTTCTAAGACCGTAATGGATTTTTTGGTGGTGTTTTTCTACAGGTTGATATGTCAGACCTCTCTCCAGAAGAGCAGTGGAGGTAAGTGTGATGGTGTGGGCCCCTCAGGCTGGGAATTTTAAATTAGTCCTACTAATTGAGTTGTATATTTACTCTTTTGCTTCCTTGTCTGTGGGGAAGCCATGACTTGACTAGTAGGAGAGGTCATTTGGGATCTTTTCCAGTATTCCTGGGTAGCTCCTTCAGTCCTGGGGAGTGAATAGGTAATTACACCAAACTATTTATATGGGTTTAAATACTACTAGTTCTGCCATTTCCTAGCTATGCTATCTTGGGCTGGGCGGATTACTTGATTTCTTACTACCTTAGTTTCCCTGATTTGCACAATGAAAGGTTACAACAGTACTCACACCTCATAGAGTTGTGAGGACTAATATATGTGAAATTCTTAGAACAATGCCTGGCATGTGGTAAGCTTCCAGTAAGTGTTACCTGCTTTGCAAATCACTATCATCATTAATATCATCATTATCCACAAAACAGAGCAGAGAGCTCTGGCTGAAATATGGGAATGGTGTCTTCCTGATCTCAACTCTGCTACTGATTTGCTTTGTAACCAGAGTGAGTCAACAGTCAACAAATACCTTATTATTGTGATTGCTCATCAAAGAGTCTTCAGAGTGTTTGTCCTACAACATAGCTGACCAATGAGCTGAAATCAACCATGTAAACTTTATTAATAGTGCAAAAAACCCCTTTCATTTAGATTATAAAAATAGAGAATGGCAAAGATACCAACTTACGTGACAAACCCAGCAAGATTTTAGAAAACTTCAAGCTTAATATGCACCAGTTGTGTACCTCAGCTATCAAAACATGGAACATGTTCATAGAAATATACTTTCTGCTTTAGGGAGGTGAAATTGTCACTGTGCTTCACTGAGTCCACACTGATTTTGTTGTAATCACTGCATATTAAGAAGATCTTCAGTTAGATAACATCTAGAAGAAGGCAACCAGGCTAATGATTTTCATATTATGTTATATGAATAGCATTTAAAAGATCTCAAACTGTTAGCCTAAAAAGGCACAGAAAAGTGGTAGTAGAAAGAGGATTTTTGTTTGTTTGTTTGTTTTAAGTAAGATCATATAAATCTTTGAAAGAGTAGCATTGGGAAAAAAGAGTAAATATGTCCTTTGTTGTTCCAGAATATAAAATTAGGTCGTTCATTAGGGAATGAAGCTATAGAAAGATTTTTGTCTTGTTATCAGAGACTTTTTAATAATTGTGATATATTGAGAGGCAGTGAGCTCCTGCCCTTAAAGTATTGGAGTTTTATTCCTTTATTAGCACATATGAGTACCTACAAGGTACCACATGGTTCTCTAATTACTTTAAGAGGCATATGTTCTCAGCCAGTGGAAGTATTCACACAAAGATTGTAAAGACAATGTTTGCATTGGGTGGGAACCTGAACTAGAGTTGTTGTTCTCTGGTCTTTTCTCCATATTTCTTTGATTATTTTGTTGTTTTTTTTTTTTGTTGTGTACATCCATTCAGTCATATATTGCCTGAGAATAAGAAATTTATCTCTTATCTTTATAACTCCCCACAGTCCTTAGGTTTTGAAAGTGTCCTTTGCCCTTTTAGTTTAGCTTATCCTCTCAACAACCCTATGTGGGAAGCAGCAGAGATACAGACTTATGTGGGAAGATACAGAGATACAGACAGATGAAGAAACTGTGATGTAGAGATGTAGATTTTCTTGGCCAAGGCCACATGGATGTCTGAACCTAAGTTTCTGACCCCTACCCATACTATTTGTTTGCCAGATTCTCCTATCCTGGATGAGTTGATGGAAGATGAACCCTGAGGTGCTGTGGCTGGCCGTTAACATTTGGCTGCCCACTTCCCCCACCAATTTCCTCTCTAACATTTTATTGTGAAAAATCTCAGAAAAGTTGAAAGAATTACACAGTAAACACCTTTAGGCCTACCACCTAGATTTTACAGTTTTCCCTGTACTTGCTTTATCATTTGTCTGTAATTCATCCCACTGGGTGGTTCTTACATAGTCTGTCATTGCCCTTGGGAACTCTATGAAGATATCATTTGTTGTCCTTTCCCTCTCTCCCTAATACCCCCATCTATGGAGGATTGGCATAAAAGCTCCTGACTATGGGCTGCATTTGTATTTATTTTTCTGACTCCTTCCTCATTTCTCTCTTGGCTGACTCTGACTCTAAGAGGCCAAGGCAATCACTTGTTGCCAGTCCCCTGGACCAGAGAATGCCAGCCTTAGATGAAATAAGAGTTTCCAGTTGTACTCTTCCTTAAGCTCTTGAGGAGGCACACTGTTGGATTAGTATAAAGTTAAAGCAGTCCAGACTTTAGCTAGTCTTAAACAGGATCCCTGGTCCTGACAGAGAGAATAGGACAAATAAAGGAAGACTTAAACCTTGGGATTAGTACACATCTGCAGTAGTACTTCTCTATTTTTGTCATAAATATCATTGACTAAGAGTATGAGACTTTATGGCTTTCCTTCTCTGTGGGTTACTTTGTCCTTCTAGGGATGGTTGAAGTTGAAATAGGACTGAAATGGGCAGTAATGACAAGATTCTTCTGGGTCCTCTTTTCTACAGGAAAGGTGTCAGCTGTTTGTGCTCTTCAGGGTGGGCAGCAGACAACCCACCTTTAACTCCAGTAGCTGAGCTTCTGAGGTCCGTAGAGCCCTTGTTCTATCCCAAATGCCCATTTTCTAGGGTGTGTTTTTCTAGCCCCTAATTTGTATAATAACCTGCAGTTGCAAAGGCCAGGAATATGTTCTGAGCTATGGACTTGTGGGATATCCCTGGAAAGCACTGCGCTTTTACTAGCACACCTTCCCTGACCTGCCTCGCCTCATCTGTTTGACTTTCAGGGTTGAGCACGCACGCATGCATGCCAAGCACCGTGGCCATGAAGCCATGCACGCTGAAATGGTCCTCATCCTCATCGCTACTTTGGTGGTGGCCCAGCTGCTCCTGGTGCAGTGGAAACAGAGGCACCCCCGCTCCTACAATGTAAGCCACTGCCTCTCAGTTCTTCTTCTGACAGTTGTCAAAAGACCCTCCTAGGTATTCTAGGGTCTAGCCTAACCCAGGCTGCATTTGGCAGGGAATAGACAAAGATAATAGATGTTATGTATGAATGGTGAATAATGTATGGTGGGTGTGCTTTTAAGAGGCAAGTGATTCAGGTGGTAAAAAAAAAAAAAGAGGTAGAACTTGAGACTACTTTTATGGCCAGAAAAGATAGTTCTTCCCTTTTAAACATTTTGGGACAGATCCATGAAGGCGATACTCATCAGGAACTATTCAAATAGAGGGCAAGGTGATGGCCTTGTTGGGAAGACCAAGCCTTTAAGTGAATCTTACAGGTAGGATTTAGATTAATTAAAAAAAAAGGGTGGGGGGCGCCTGGGTGGCTCAGTGGGTTAAAGCCTCTGCCTTCAGCTCGGGTCATGATCCAGGGTCCTGAGTTTGAGCACCACATTGGGCTCTCTGCTCAGCAGGGACCCTGGTTCCTCCTCTCTCTCCCTGCCTGCCTCTCCACCTACTTGTGATCTCTATCAAATAAATAAATAAAATCTTTAAAAAATAAATACATAAAACATATAGCTAAATGGCAGAAGTAAATCATTCTTTATTGGTAATTACTTTAAATGGCTTAAATTGTTCTAGTAAAAGGCAGAGATTAGCATATTGATTTAAAAAAAAAAACATGAGAGACTCACTTTAGAAACAAAGACGCGGAGAATAAAAGTAAAAAGGTGGAGAAAGATATTCCATGCACATGATAGTCAGAAGAGAGCTGGGGTGGCTATTAAATCTCAGACCAATAGACTTTAAATCAAAAAAATTTACAAGAAGGTGCCTGGGTGGCTCAGTGGGTTAAGCCTCTGCCTTCAGCTAAGGTCATGAACTCAGGGTCCTGGGATCAAGCCCCACATCAGGCTCTCTGCTCGGCAGGGAGCCTGCTTCCCCCTCTCTCTGCCTGCTGCTCTGCCTACTTGTGATCTCTCTCTCTCTCTCTCTCTCTCTCTGTCAAATAAATAAATAAATAAATCTTTAAAAAAAAATTTACAAGAGACAAAGGACATTATATATTGATAAAAGGTTCAAACCAACTAGAAGATAGTATAATTATGAACATAACTAAGGAGCCCCAAAATATGTGATGCAAAAATTGACAGAATTGAAGAGGGATAGACAGTTCGACAATAACTGTTGCAGAGTTCAGTACCTGACTTTCACTAAGATAGAGCAACCAGGTAGAATATTAGTAGAGGGAACAGCATTATAAACCAGTTAGCTCTAACAGATACACAGGGCACATGCTACCCAACAACAGCAGAATATATACTCTTCTCCAGTGCACATGGACTGTTCTCCAGGATAGAAAATACGTTAGGTCACAAAACAAGTTTCAGTAAGCTTGAGAAGATTAAAATCATAGATTCAGCCACTCTGGATTAGGACATGACAGGTGTAGTGTACTGGATTTTTTTTTTTTTTTTAAACTATCATCTTACAAGTTTTTAACCTTTACAAGGCTAACAACCCTTTTTTAGCATCAACTTTGGCAAACACCTACGTGGTAATACTTTGCATAGAAAATACAAGTGCATCTATAGTAGTAACAATAGCTAACATTAATTGAATTTTCGCTTAATGCCAGCCAGTGTTCTAAGTACTTCACAACTGTGGGCTCAGCTAATCTTGTAGTAATCCAGTAAGGTAATATTTTCTCCAATTACAAATAAGGAACTGAGAAAGACTAAGTAATTTGCTCCAGTGATGAAACTGTTATGAACCCAGACAGTTTTACTCCAGGGTTTTTATTCTTCATCCCTAAATGGTTCTTTTTCTCTAGTATATGCTTTTTCAGACCTCTGATAATATGGTCAGACACGCCCAGGGCTGTGTAGCCCACATGATGTGAACTGCTGCACTATGTCATTTAATCCTCCTACTAGCCCATGAGGTAAGTACTGTGAACAGACTGAGGCCCAGAGAATTGAGACATGGAGGGAATACTAATAGAGCCAGGATTTGAACCCAGGTTTTCTGTTTCATATGGCATAATTTCTATTGTACCATATGTTGCTCCTGGAAAGGATTTTCCATCAAGGGAACAAGGGATAACCTAGAGCATAGGAGGAAGAGAGAATAATCTTTGACCTTGAGCAGACACAAGTTCCGAACATTACTGGTTTATAGCCAGTTCAAGTGTTGGCATGCACCACAAATAGAAACATCTGTACCTTCAGGACACAATGCACTGAAGGACCACATGACACCAAGAGTTTTTGAGCTGGAGACCATCCAGCAGGCTTAGCCCCCTGAGGTGGGGCTTCATGTCTAGACCCTGGTCATGCTTTGCCCTGTTATCTGAGATAAGTCACTTGTTTGTCAATGTGTGATTACAGTGCGTACTCTATAGAGTGGGGATTACCGAAATGGTTGAGTTGAGCCTGGAAAAATAAGAACACTCATAAGCCAAGAGTAGAATGAGAACACCATTGGCATTTCTGTGCTGGTATTGAGAGATCATCTTAATTATACAAATTTGGCTAATCTGCAAAGATTTTTAAAAACCTCTAAAGGACGTGAGGATGTACTTTAGTAGTTTTCAATAAGTATTCCTCAAAAAACTGTGGAATACTTTCTTCAAATAGTATCTTAAGGAAAAACCCAGTATGGAAAATAATTAAGAGGCCGCTCTGGTTGATACAGGGTTGGATAACCCTGACCTCTCTGCTTCTCAGGATCATATATAGGAGTCATCATAGTGCTGGGAAACCACTGATAATGTCATTCATTAGTTAACCCTTAAAAGGAAATATGACTGTGAAGCCAGTTATATAAGAAGCATGCACAATTATCCCATTACTTTACTGCCATACCCCGTAAACATTATGGTAAACTTCACTGGTGAGCAAACATGTCGACATTATAAATACCTTGCACTGAGAAACTTAAAGCCATATCTTTAAAAAATTGGGAAAGGAAATCTGTAATGTCTGCTTTATTCTACTCTTATAAAATAATGACCTAGATTATTTTTTTAAACGTTTATTAACTTGTGTACAATGAATATTTTTACTGCTTTAATTAAAACACTAACTTTGGAAGAAGAAAATTTGCCCAAGATGCTTGTACACAATAAGCTGTCCTTTCTTGTCCTGTCCTGTCCTGTCCTTTTTCAAGCTTACCAGAAGTTGAAGCTGTTTGGCTTGTAGGCAGTATGATACAGTGGAGCCAGCCCAGTCTGATTTGATCCGTCAGCTGTCTCACTTCCTAGCTATGTGACTTTATATCTCGAGCCTGTTTTTCTTATCTCTAAGTTGGGGTGATATCTACCTCATGGGTTGTGAAGATGATATAAGATTCTATGGCAAAGTGTTTTGTCAACTCTAAAACGAATGGTAGTGACTGTTGTTGCTCCCACCCCTAAGAGAAAAAGCTCAAGATGTAAAAGTTTTAAGATACTTTGTGGAAGAATAGAATTTTCTTTTTATTGACAGAAATTTCACATAAAAATATTCACTATTCTATGGGGCGCCTGAATGGCGCAGTTGGTTAAGCGACCAACTCTCTCAGGTCCGGTCATGATCTCCAGATCGTGAGATCAAGCCCCACATCAGTGCCACGATCAGCACAGAGTCTGTTTCAGATTTTTTTCTCTCCCTCTCCCTCTGCCCCTCCCACTCATGCACACACTCTCTCTCTCAAATAAATACATCTTAAAAAAAGAAAAAAACCTTAAGAATGGATATTCTACCATTTTAAAGTATATAATTCAGTAGCATTTAGCACATCCAGTGCTGTGCAGCCATTACCACTATTTAGCTCTAGAACATTTCATTACCCCAGAAGGAAACCCCATATCCATTAAGCAGTCACTCCCCATTTCCCCCTCCCACCAGGTCCTGGCAGTAACTAATCCGTTTTCTATATATTTGCCTATTCTGGATATTCATATAAATGAAATTATACAATATGTTGCCTTTTGTCTGGCTTCTTTCACATAGCATGATGTTTTCAAGGTTCAGTAGTATTGCAGTATCTGTACTTAATTTCTTTTTGTGGCTGAATAATACTCTTTTGTATGGATATGCCACATTTTGTTTATCTCTTCATCAGTTGATGGACATTGGGGTTGTTTCTACCCTTTGGTTATTGTGAAAAATGCTGCTGTGAACATTCTTTATAAGCTTTTATTTGAACACCTGTATTCAGTTCTTGGGTATGCCCTGGAGTAGAACTGTTCAACTTTTTTTTTTTTTTTTAAAGATTTTATTTATTTGACAGACAGAGTTCACAAGTAGGCAGAGAGAGAGGAGGAAGCAGGCTCTCCGCTGAGCAGAGAGCCCAATGCGGGACTCGATCCCAGGACCCTGAGATCATGACCTGAGCCTAAGGCAGAGGCTTAACCCACTGAGCCACCCAGGCGCCCCAAACTGTTCAACTTTTTGAGAACAATTTTCCATAGCAGCTATACCATTTAACATTGCAACCCACAGTGCATTGGTTCCAGTTTCTCCATGTTCTCACCAACACTTGTTCTTTTGTTCCTCTTCTCTTCTGGTCTCTTTTACCTCCCTCCTTCCCTCTCCCTCTCCTCCTCCCTCCCTCCCCTCACTTTCTCTCTTTGTCCCTCTCTCTCCCTCCCTCCTTCTTTCCCTCTCTCTCTTTCCCTCCCTCCCTCCCTCCCTTCCTTCCTTCTTCCTTCCTTCCTTCCTCCCTCCCTTCCTCTCTCTCTCTGTCTCTCTTTCTCTTCTTTCATATAGTCACCCTAGTGGGCATAAAGTAGTATCTCATTGTGGTTTGGTTTGTGTCTCCCTAATGATTCATGATGTTGAGGATCTTTTGATATGTTTATTGACAAAAAAAAAAGATGTGTTTATTGGCTACATGTATATCTTCCACCTCTTTTCCCATTTTTTAACTGCTTTGGTTTGTTCCTTTGTTTTTTCTCTTGTGTCTGTGTGTGTGTGTGTGTATTGTAAGAGTTCTTT